AGAGCAGTTGGCACCCTCGCGGTGTCTATGAGAACCCCAGGGCACCACGACGACCACCACGATGGCGTAGACGGCGACGACGGCGACTGCGACGACGACGACGACGACGACGACGACGACGACGACGACGACGACGACGACTAGCACGACGACGAAGGTGATGATGACGGCGACGTCCATGACAGCGACGGCGATGGTGACGTCCATGACGACAACGGCCACGACGACGGTGGCGACGGCGACAACTATGGCGATGGTCAAAACCGCGACGACGACGGTGGCGACGACGACGAAGACGTCGACGTCTGCGACGACAACAGCGGCCACGACCAGGGCGACTACAACGGCGACGGCCAGGGCGACGACGACCACGACGACGACGACGACGACGACGACGACGACGGGACCGCAGAGGACCACCGGCAGCGAGCTCGAGGTCTGGCTAGACTCCTCGCCGTGCGCGCCCGCGTTGCACGAGAAGTTGGCCAACTTGTCGCGGGGGGGAGGGGGGCCCAGACTCTTCCTCATTGCTAAAAAAACTCGGTAGGAGGGTTTTGCAGTTTGGTTTGCTTCTGCAGGCTCTTACGGGGCCCTTGGACGTTCAAAAATGCTCCGGGATGACAAAATTCTCCCGGAGGGTCTCGGTCTCGGGGGGGCAGCCCTTCTTCTGGAAGAGGGGGAGGAGGGGGAGGAGGAGGAGGAGGAGGAGGAGGAGGAGGAGGAAGAAAGGGGGAGGAAAGGGGGAGGAGGGGGAGGAGGAGGATGGATCGAGGTTCGAGGATCGGGGCCATGGGCTGTCGGCGATTCGGTCGGTTCGACTGCTTCGCAGTCGTCTGTATTAGGTCAGTTCGGTCCGGTCGATTGGTGTGCTTCTGCGGCCTTCCTAGCCATTTTCGGCTACGTAGTCGGTTGCGTCGGTATTCGACTTAGGTTTCGGCATGGACGGCTCTGAGACCGAAGGTTGGCGGCGTTTTGAGACAGGTGTCATCTTTTCTGGGCGTCCGCCGGAACGACGTTGCACGGCAAGCAAGCTCAGACTGACACTCAAACAGATGCCTACAGCGCACCTGCGATGCAGGTGCGATGCAGGTGCGCGCCTCTGAGAGCCAGATCAGGGCCAGGTCAGCGTGCAGACGCGAGCAGCCTGAGCAGCTCGCCTCACATGTGAGGCCGCGCGTGGGCTCCTCCTGGGCCTCGAGCTCGAGGAGGCGTGTTGCTCGTCGCCACGCCTGGGTTCCCCCGGGAGTTTCCTCTGGCCAAGAGGCGCCCGCCCCCAAGGGGGAGCTCCGCGGGGCAAGGCTCCCCCCCCACTTTGTGGGAGGAGGGGTCGGCGGATCTGCGAGCGTGCTTCTTGACTGCTTCCTGGTAACGCTCGGACGTGCGCACTTTGTCTCGGCGGGGACTATCAAGGCGCATCCTGGATCATCCTGCGAGAAAAAAACACGCACGACACCAGAAAAAAAAGCACAGGGAATGGACGTCCGAGCGATGGCCAGGCTTGGGGCATAGGCATCATAGCCCCCGCCTTCCCTCCCCCCCCCCTGTACGAACGTAACCCCCCCCCCAGTGCGCTCCAGGCACTGCCGCCGTGCGCACGGCGGGGGGGAGGCGTTGCATATACCCCCCCCTGGCCCCTCCCCCCACCCTGTACAGTCAACCCGCAGAGTAAGGACGGGCGACCTTCCCAGGGGTACCCTCGCATCCTTGCCTCTTCGGTCTATCCTTGACCGCTCTCGTTGGCCGCGCCCTGCTCGAAAAGCTTCGAAGTGGGCGTCCAAGGGCCTTGCATCCTTATCGCGCATCCTTACTCTGCGGGTTGGCTGTAATGCCACTGTTCATGCTCCTCCTCCTCCTCCTCCTGCTCCTCCTCCTCCTCCTCCTCCTCCTCCTCCTCAATCCTCCTCCCCCTCCTCAATCCTCCTCCTCCCCCTCGCATCCAGCATCGCCGAACATCAACGAAGCGCGCCCTGCTTGTGCCGTGGACCGAGGCGGAGGGGGCAGGCGGGCGGCACCGAGGGAGAGGGGCGAGCAGGGGAAAGGGGGAGGAGCGAGGAGGAGCGGAGGGAGGGGTAGCGAGGGGGAGGAGGGAGGAGCAGGAGGAGGAGGAGGAGGAGGAGGAGGAGGAGGAGGGAGGTGGAGGAGCGAGGAGGAGGAGGAGGAGGGAGGAGGGAGGAGGAGGAGGGAGGAGGAGGGAGCGAGGAGGAGGAGGGAGGAGGAAGGAGAGAGAAAGAAAGAAAGAAAGAAAGAAAGAAAGGAAGAAGCCCTCGGATCCATGAAGTGCAACATGATTGCTAGCACACATCACGGCATGCAAACATCGTGCAAGAGAACAAAGGCTGGATCTGGGTGGCCTTCAGTGGCGAACTGCTTGCCCGCCCTGCAGGTGGGGGACACACGGGCCACAGCCTCGCCCAGGCGGTGCTGACCGCTCATGAGGGGGCATGGCACTGCCTTCCCGTCCTTCAGGAGGAGGCTCAAAACTCAGATTAGGAAGTGAAACCACCCCCAGGACACGCTATGTTCTGGATTTAGCCCTAGCAGGAAGGAGAGGAGGAGGAGGAGCGAGGAGGAGGAGGGAGGAGGGAAGAGGGAGGTGGGGGGGAGTTTGGGATCGAGGCCAGACCCCTCGAAGCCGGGCCCCTCGCGAAGAGTCCAGGGAGAGCCACACCTGGGGCAAGACGGCACCCCCTCCGCCCGTCGGCCCAGAGCAGCTCCTGCACCCTCTGGGTGGCCGTGTGGCGCAGCCCGTGCGGCGCAGTCCGTGTGGCGTCTGCAGCACGCGTGGCGCATGATGTGTGGTGCAAGTGATGGTTGAGTCGGGCCTGTCCCTCTACAGGAGGAATACTCAAACGTAGTAAAAATATAGGCTGGGTGCGATGTGCTGGCTATTTTTGAGCATTCGGAGAGTAGATGTGTTTTGTACCGTATTGTTTTATGTTTCGCCCAACCCCTCCTTGTAGGGGGACAGGCCCGACCTAAAGCTATGGGGCGTTATCTGTGCGGTGAAGTCTGCCGTTGGGCTTTGAAGTAAGCGCCGATGGAAATCTTGAGGCCGTCAGCTCTGAAACTCGAGCACACTTCACCCACTCACCCGCAATGTGCTGGCAGACCCAACTGGCGCAACGACTCGATTATCCTTTCCATGCAGAGCCATGGACCTGGCGGGCGAGTGATGATGGTGACGACGACGATGATGATGGTGTTGGTGGTGGCGCTGATGACGAGGGGGACGACAATGACGTTTGCGCTGACGATGGTGATGAAGATGATAGTGATGAGGGCTGCAATGATGACGTTGGCGATGATGATGACGATGATGATCATGATGATGATGATGATGATGATGATGATGATGGTGGTGGTGATGATGATGGTGGTGATGGTGATGGTGATGGTGTTAGTGATGATCATGATCATGATGATTTTGATGCTGATGGTGATGACGATTATGATGATGATGACGGTCATGTTTATGTTTACGATGATAATGATGCTGATGATGATGATGGTGTTGATGATGCTGATGACGATGATAATGATGATGCTGATGCTGATGCTGATGCTGATGATGATGATGATGATGATGCTGATGATGATGATGGCGATGATGATGATGATGATGATGATGATGATGATGATGATGATGATGATGATGATGATGATGATGGCGATGATGTTGATGATGATGGCAGTGCTGACGAGGATGACGAGGGAGCGCTCGCGCATCGACCATCTGATTGTCCCCTTTATCGGAAATCCAGAGGTCGACCACATGCGCTTTATCATAATTATGTTCGGAATGCACGCACAACTAATGTGTTGTCAGCGCACGAGGCCAAAGTGTTGCCATGATTCCGACATGCGCGCACAGGGACGCGCGCGTGTAGCCCGCATGGTTTTATTTGACGCAGTCGTCGGGTGCGCGATGACTGTTGGATTATTTTGGCATGCATGCGCGTGCGGCCCGCAGGGTCACCCAGCGCACGAGGCGGCCACGAAGCGATTACCAGCGGCAACGTGGAAAATCTTTGCTGGACGAGTTCAATTCCTTAAGAAGAAAGCTGAAAACTCGTCAGTGCAAGCACGGTTTGGGGAACAATCTTCAGCGCGGAGAATTCAAAGAGACTTGAGGACATGCCATTCATTGCCAACGGCACGGTGGCAGATTCATCCACCATGTCTCGTTTTCCTCTCCTTGTGATTCTTTATCCATCCTGCTGTCTGCCTTGTCCTCGTCATCTTCTCCCTTCCCTCTCTTCCTCGTCAAATCATCCTCCCGGTCTTGTCGCGTCCTCCTCCTTTCTCTCGACCCCCCCTTCGTGGGAGGTCGCTCGTGGGCAAGGCGGGCAGCATCTGCGACCCGGTCAACTCGCTCGCCATGAAGGGCACTCGGGGGCACCAATTGTCACCGAGAACAAAAGAACCCCGAACCTTAATAACACGATGAAGATTTGGCCTCACTGAGGTCCCCGTCTTTGCATGATGGATGAGAAGTCTGGACGGTTTGCTTCGATACATCAGCAGAACGAAAACCTATCCCTAATGCTGTTGGCCCTCCTAACTTAGGTCTCCTCCCAAAGGGAAAGGGGGTCCTTCTCTAGTTACTCAAACTGCCCCGAATGACCGGTCTTGGCCAAGCCACTCGGTGGCCCACCTACAGTCGGGGCGCTGAAGAAGGAACCCTTCTCCTTGGGGAGGGGTTCCGTGTTCCTTCATTGTTTCACAGTTTGCCCTATGATTCCTTCAGATTTTCGATGGGAGATCAAAGTTTAATTGATGGAAAAAAAACGGGGCCTCGTTCCTTATTCTGGGTTCCTTAGGTCAACGCCCCGACTCTATCGGAGGCCCCCGAGCTAGTTCCGAGGCCTCTGCATGACTGTTCGCTCGCTCCGCCCCGTCCGCCGGCACCCACGGTCTCGCTGCTGGCGCTCGGTCATGCTGGGGAGGGCCTCTCGTGAGACTGCAGAGGCCAGGATCACGCAGTGGCGAAGCGTCCTGGCTCGCCTATAGCCCTACCAGACAATGTTCTAAGAACCGTTTGTGGTTTCCACGAAATGTTCTTAGAACATTTCTGGCTGGGACTGTTTTGTTTTAACACATCGGGCTCACGTTTTAAAAACATTGCTTTTGGATCATTTCGGGGTTCTAAGAAAATTTCGTGGTAGGGCTACAGGAATGCCGGGGCGGTCGGTCCCTGCTCAACAGGAGGGGTCGTTCATCTACAGTGGAGGCCCATGCCAAGAAACACCCCGCTTGCCTCCAGGGTGCCCTGGGTGTCTTGGGTCTCGATGGTTCTGCGATGGGAAGCGTGGCGCCCCCACCCCGAAGATCAATGGACGTCCTGGGGTCTCAGGGTTGGGCTTCTTGTGGGCCAGGCGAAAGGGGGGGATTGGGAAAGGGGGGGTTACGAAATTTGCTGCATGCAGCTGGTTTCGGGCCCGCCGCCGGGCCCATTCCTCGATACATGGGCGCCTCCGGCGCCGGGAGGCGCCGGGAAAATCAGCTACGTGAGCTGATTCTCAAACCCCCCCTTACTTTAAACGGAGAAGGTTAAAGGCGAGGTATAAATCGAGCATGTACCGCTGCCGTGCCTGGCTCAAGCCGGGCCCGGCCTGATATGTGACTGTGCCTCACCGAGGCGCACTACTTGCATCTGAGATCGGAAAACATCCTTTCCATTGACGATGCCCATCCTACTCTATACTCCAGATCCCATGCTTCGTCTCGCTCTCTTGCTCATGCGATATGAGCCAAAGCCTGGGATATGGCAACGCCTAAGGCGTAACACATACCTAAGCTTACCAGCTTGTTTTCGACTTGGTAGCGGAGCTGGCTACACTCTCGTGTGGCTGGCTCTCGCTCTGATTCCAGTAATCCACGGCACAACTTGGTGGACTACTACCACGGTGGAATACCATGTTGCGCCGGCTCTGCGAGGAGCGGAGCCAGTCCGCGATCGAGCTAGCGGGGTCACCCGCGAACTCGAGACGCTTTCTCCTACTTCACTGCGCTACTTCACTCCTGACTTCCACCAGATGCCAATCGGCAACTCGATCGAGAACGTGGTCACCCTGCGGGGCTACCCGCAGCGGGGCCACCTGCATCCCGTGCCGGTCAGGCGCCTCACGGCTACCACGCCAGAGCCTGACAAACCACAGCCTAAACCAATCACCGAAGCCGAAATGCATATGCATTGGATCAAGATAACTATCTTCGGCATTCTATGGGTGATAATGGGATGTGCTGTGGGATACATGCGGCAGGGGATGGACGACACGCGTACTACTGGCCCTTCATGGGACCCTGCCGGTACTACGCCTTTCCGCGAATACGTTCGCGAAGTACATGCATGGTTAAACGTAACGAGCGGCAATATGACACCACCACAACAAGCTGCAGCACTACAACGAGGCCTTCAGGGTCTGGCTCGTCGTATCGCCATGCAGGTCCCCTCCCAGATCATCAATTATGGTGTAACTGTCAATGGACAGCCAACGGATGCAGTAACCTACATACTGTACTTACTGAGCACCAAATTTGAAAATCTGGAAGATGAGCGCCAGCTCAACTCTGGCACGGCCCTTATCGACTTCCGCGTCGAAAGGGGCGAGCGAATCGACTCAGTATTAGCTCGATTCGAGATGGCCCGTGACGAGGCTAACTCTGTTGGCTTTGTCATCCCCAACTTTCAGATCCTAACGCTGATTCTCTTCAGAGCGTTAGGCGTTGGCGCGTCACGAGCCCAACACCTGCTTGAGCCCTTCAATCATCAGATGCCCCGAACACAAGCAGACTATGACAGGCTGCTGACCAGGATGAGGAACTACGGACATGTTGCCGAGCGCTCTCCTGGCAACATAGCGGGTATCTTCACAGGGCACCACTCACATGCAGGTGTCTACGCCACGACTGCGGGGTCACCCGCTGGTCCTGGCGAGCCAAATCCCTGGGCTGACCCAGCCGATATGCCCAACGAGGCCACTGCCCTTCTAGGGCAGACCGGCCAGGCATCGGCAGAGGCAGCTGAGGCGAACGCCTGGTCGAACTACTCGCCAGGCGCCGCCTACACTGCAAGCCCGCCCTCGGGCACAACCCTCTGGGGCCAAGCGGAGTCATCCGCTCAATGGTCTCAGCCACCCTCACCGTTTGAATCTGGCACTGACACAGATACTTCATCTGACGATGAGCACAATGGAATAGTCTCTGCTGGTAATGACTATCCAGCGGACGACACTCACCTTTCTGAACAGCAAAGGGCGGAAGCCGCCTTTATGGCTTATCGCAAATCAAAACGCCGTTGGAGGCGCTTTATGAAGAAACCAGTCAGAAAGGTGAGACGTGCAGTACGCCGACATTTCAAACAATTTGGAAAGGGTCGTGGTAAAGGGGGTCGCAGACGCCGTATGCATGGTAGGGGTATTACTGCTTTCCTCACGTCCTTAACTGATATGGCTTTTGAAGAAGTTCTTATCGGAGGCAAAGGTCGGGGTCACAGGCGGACCTCCGGTAAGGGAAAGGGGCGGAGGGGCAACCCTAGGGACGCTTCTGGTAATACTATGAAGTGTCATACATGCGGTAGCACAGAGCATTTGCGCGATCAATGCCCGAAGGGGAAAGGAAAGGGATCCGTACACTTGGCTCAAAATTCTTTTATGGATGACATAGATTACATTGACTACGAGTTTTACGTCAATCCAGAAGCGGCTCCCGCTGCGGGCTCCTCCACGTATTACGTGATGGCCCGCTATGCTGAAGCAACTGTGGCCCTGGAAGACTACGCAGTGACCCTCTTCGACGAGTTCCACGGCTGGGACGAGGTCGATGAGATTGCGTACAATGCTTGGTTCGGTCTTCCAGCGGGGCCACCCGCCGGTGACGAGGTCTCCGAAGCCGAGACTGCCCCGGCAACAGAGGAAGAACTCACCGCCGCGCTGGCCCCACAAGTGATTGGCATGCCGTTGCTGCCAAATCCGTCGTGGGCTGGCTCGGAGATGGGAGACGCCGATGACGAAATGCGGGGCCATCCCGCGTATTCCGACTCCGAAGAATCCGAAGAAGATTATAACGACATGCTCCAAGAGCAGGTTTCAGAAGCAATCCGACTCTTGAGTGCGCCAGCACAGCAGCAGATGACGATGAGCGAACTGCTGTCGCACCCAGGAGTTGCCCGTCTACGTCCATACTTGGATTCGAACATGTCAGCATCTCAGATGCTTACAGCACTCCAAGCTCTAGCGGGGTCACCCGCCGAAGAGATGCTAGACACAACAGCGGGGCCACCCGCTTGGTCTATGGATGTATTCATGCAAGGTTGCGATCAAATGAACATTAACGACCTCTCGATGGAGCAGTTAAATGACATCGGATACTTCAGAAGCCCGTATCAAAACGTGTTCATGGTCCAGGACAGCTCAGAGGACTCGGAGGACATGCGGTACGCCAAGAGGGACAGGCGACCGTCGCCTCCCCGAGACTCAGAGCATGACGATCAAAGGCCAGTGACACGTGGTAGTGCGTCAGCGGGGCCAGCCCGCGGAAGGAGCCGCTCAGCTCCTAGACGCCCTACGCATGATGAATCGGGCTATCCATACAGCACTGAGCACTCCGTTGGAGTATCTGCTCAGCAGGTGCCGGATTGGTACATCAGATGGTACCCCGGCTACTCTATGGATACTCTTCGGCACTGGTATTCTAAGGAATACTGTACCAAAAGGGACGAGACTGGCGCGATAATCCGTACCAAGGGCGGCAAGACCAAGACGCCAGAGGCCTGGGACAAAAGGGCGAAGAAGCAGGAGATCATCACTGACCGCAAAACGTACAGAAAGCAAGTATGTCAGTGTGAGCCCTTCAAAGGCCACATGCGCAGGTGTCCGATGGACCGCCCCTCCAGGAGCCCTCACCATGGAGAAACCCCGTGGAATTGGTCTCATGGAGACGACGCGGGTAACGTCCATGATCCGAACAAAGAGGTTCCTGGAGGAGGAAAGCGCATCACAGAGGCCGATCGCGTCCCTATGACCGAAGAGGTGGCCAACACCGTCAAGGAAAATTGGGCAAAGCTTCCCAATGACCACCGCCTCAAGGAATGGAACCGCCGATTCCATAAGGAAGCGGGGTCACCCGCAGAATCCAGTAAGGAAGCGGGGTCACCCGCAGAATCCAGTAAGGAAGCGGGGTCACCCGCAGAATCCAGTAAGGAAGCGGGGTCACCCGCAGAATCCAGCAAGGAAGCGGGGTCACCCGCAGAAGCAGCACCAGCCGCTGGATCTGCGGACGAGTGGATAGACGTTGCCTCTGCTGCCGGGTCCGCCGCCGGCACTGACCGCACTGAGCTAAATGAAGAGTGGGCGGCGGAAGACGGTTCAGAGAATCCATTCCCTGA